CATGTGTTTGTATTTCAAAAGTCAAGATATTCTTTAATGTAGGTACAAACTGGTTAACCTGATGTCATCCATCAGATAAAACAAACAGAAAGTCTATGCAGGTTAAATAGACTCCTGTGTTACTGCTAATGGAATTCTCTCTTCTAGCAATTGCCAGAGCATCAAGGACTGGTTCCTATTGGAGCACAGCATGCTAAGGGTTATAATAACAGAATTAACTGAAATGACTTTAGCATACCTTGAAATGTAACATTGTCTAATAATGGCTGTCTCTGTTTCATTTATTCATTTTCCTAACATTTACTAAGAGAACTATTTTAACTAGGCTCTAAGTTAACTGACTAATACCTTGTAAAGATCTCTGAGCCATAACTTAAAAAAATTAAAACAGAAAGAGAATACTTCCATTTTAATAATGTTAGAAAGCAGACATGATAATTTGATCAATTAAATTTTAATTGAATCTTCTGCAAGGTAATTGGGTATTCTACTTAGATGCCACAGTGAACAAAAGAGACCATTTCCTTACAGTCTTACTGCTTGTAGGTGAGCAGAGAAGGGGTCTATATTATCTTTTTTCATTGCTGTGACAAAATACTTGAGACTTTTGGATCAGGCTTCCAGGGATTTCAGCCCACCTTTAGAGGGTCTAGTGGAAGGAAAGTGGGTCTCCTTTGCTTTTGGCCTGTGGTGGTGAATCAGAAAAACATGGTGAAATGATTCTGTGGCAGGAGAGGTCTGCTCATCTCTGGGCAACCTCATCCCAAGGCAACTGCAAGAGAGAATGACAGCTAAGAACCAGAGACAAAATCTGTTCTTCAAAGACTTGCTCTCAGTGGTCTATTTCCAATACAGTCCATCTTTCTAAAGTTAGAGTTTCCACCAGCTCCCAGCAGTGCCCTCCACTGTGGACCAAGCTCTTGGCACACAGCCTTTGGAGGACATTAGATCCAAATCATTGCAGACTGAGTTCAGGGTCAAGCGTTGATTCTCTGCACTGATTTGAGAACAACTGTCAGTAAATCTATGAACTTAAGAGCCCGAGGGCCAGATGACACAGAACACGGTTATCTGTTCAGTTGGGACACACAGAGAACCACTGAACATCTATGTCTCTTGTATTATTTTCACTCTGCCTCAGTGTCCAGCCGTGTCTGTGACTGTTCATCTGGAGGTGTCCTCCCATGAACTGGGGTGGCCCAGAGCCATAGTCCATTAACAGTCTGAGGGATAGTCTTCAATCAGTGAGAGTCAGGGTTTGGGGATAGCCCATGCTAATGGTTGGGATTGTAAATGATCCCCCACAAACACGGCTCCCAGTCTATGGCGTCACTGAAAAACAGCAGAGGCTTTAGAGGGCGGGACCTCGTGGAAGGACATTAGGTCACTTGGAAGGACACTTACACGGTCTCCCCAGCCCTCTCCCTCAGCTTCTCTCTCCCTCCCCCATGATGTGAACTGTTCTAACCTGCATTGTCCACCATGCTGTCTCCTCCACCACAAGCCCCAAAACAACAGTCAGCTGACCACAGACTGAAGCTGAAGTAAAACCTTCCTCTTGCAAACTGTCTAATCGCTGGCATTTTTATCACGGCAGTAGAAAGCTGGTTAATAGTCAACGGGCCTCCTTGTTTCCAAAGTGAGAGAAGTCTGGAGAATTCTAGGTGTGTACTACATCCCAAACATCCCACAAAGGGTTAGGTGTCCGCTGTCCACAGAGGTGACCGCTCACAGAGTTCAAAGCCGGTGTCTTCTCTTTGCCGGTTTCTCCTCCATGTGCCCTTAATGGTGTTTTCTGGGAGCCCATGTGTCACACAAGCCACTTCTGTGCTCCTTGAGTCTCCTGGGGATCCCAGCTGCACACACCCCAGATCAATGCCTTTGTCTTTATTGTTTACTTGATTGATAGCCACATAATCTCTAAATACTTTCCCACTGAAAGGGCGGGCAAAATGGTCATTTAAAACTCTTTAGGTTGACTCTGTCTTATGAGCGTGATGTTTGTGCCTGCATGCATGTGTGTGCACCATGTGAGTGCCTAGTACCCGTGGAGTTCAGAAGTGAGCACTGTGCTCCCTGGAACTGGGGTCTCAGATGGCGGAGGACCACCATGGGGGTGCTAGGAGCTGAGTCTGAGTCTTCTAGCTAAGTAGTAACAAGGGCTCTTAACTGCTGAGCCCTCCCTCCAGTCCCAGGGAGAGTTATTTCCATCTGTGATATTTGAATGTGGTTTGAATGAGAATGGCCCAAATGAGCTGGGGATTACCCAGTGTGCATGGGTAATCCCCAGATGACTAACTGCAAGGGTTAGGAGGTGTGCATGGGTAATCCCCAGATGACTAACTGCGAGGATTAGGAGGTGTGCATGGGTAATCTCCAGATGACTAACTGCGAGGATTAGGAGGTGTGCATGAGTAATCTCCAGATGACTAACTGCGAGGGTTAGGAGGTGTGGCCTTGTCGGAAGAAGTGTGTCCCTGGGGGAAGGCTTTGGGGTTTCAAAGGCCCATGCCGGGCCCAGTGTCTCTCTCTTTGTCTTCTGGCAGGATAGCCCTCATCTGCTTCTCCAGAACCACTTCTTGCCTGCCATGCTCACCACCAGGACGATAGTGAACTAGCTCTCTAACATTGGAGCCAAATCCCCCACCCCAGGTAGATGCCTTCTTCTGTAAATTGCTTTGGTCATGGTAACCCTTCACAGCCACAGGAGAGTGACTATGAGGACTTTTGAAGTTGGAAGGAGTGAATTTTTACATCATGATATGGCTACAAGCCTATGGGGGCCAGGGAGTAGAATGTGGTCGTTTGGATAGGAATGGCCCCCATAGGCTCATATACTTAAATCCTTAGTAATTAGGGAGTGACTTTATTGGGACTGTGGCCTTGTTGGAGTAGGCATGGCCTTGTTGGAGGAAGTATGTCACTGAGGGAGAGCTTTGAGGTGTCAAAGGCCTCTCTCCCTCCCTTCTCCCCCCTTCCCCGTGTGTGTGTGTGTGTGTGTGTGTGTGTGTGTGTGTGTGTGTCCCCTCCTGCTGCCTGCAGATCCAGATATAGAACTCTCAAGCTATTTCTCCAACACCATGTCTACCTACTTGCCACCATGCTTCCCATCTCGATGACAATGAACTAGACTTTGAACCTGTAAGTAAGTAAGCCCCAATTAAGCATTTCCTACACCCTAGCTGAGACAAGGCTGTTCATGGAGAAGAGGTTGAGACAGTGACACTGTGAGCCATTGTCACGGGAATCACTGATGCAGACAGGGATGTCCCTCAGAACACTGTGGAAGGAAAACTTACCATCCCATGTGCACATGTCACTCATGGTCACGGGGTCCAAACTGATCCAACACAGGGGAGAGGGGAGATTCCTTTCTCTACTGGCTTACACCAGCCGCATGAGTTGATGCTAACTTGAACTTAAATATGAGTACAGGGAGACAGAAACACAATTTCTGAGGACAGAAATGTTCCCTGCATTTGGGAGTGTGAGATGGTTTCTCCACACAGGCGTGCAAACACTGTGATGGTTTAAAGGCTGCTATGCATGCTGAGAACATGTTTTAGAAAATATCACGGTGAACAACAGACAAGTTTCTGGGCTAAGGGAAGGTTTATCACAAGGTGGGGAAAATGAGGGCCAGAGAGTGGCACTATTTCGAAGGCAGTAAGTGGAGTCAGGATAGAATTCCTCTGACTCTCAAGCCAGGCAGCTTCACCATGAAGCCCTGGGCATTCTTCAGGAGCAGTTTTTTTTTCACCTGATAGCCAAATGTAACCTAAACTGGTGTGAGTCCTTCAATAACCCATCTCAGGTGGGTAAATGTGAATATTTATCATTTTGCCACACACACAGGGGCTGAGGGAACAGTCAGTCACAAAATCTCCTGCCTAGCATGAAAACCTGCATTCGAACCCCAGAACTCAAGTATAAGAACCAAGCATGGTGCCTGTGATCCCAGCTCTGGACAGAATCCTGGGTGGACGAAGGGGGGGGTGTCACTGCCAGCTTAGCCAGCAGGATCTGAGAAACGATGGTTCTCACTTCATACTAAGACTACAGGAGCGAATGGTGTACAGTTTGTTTGGGTCTGTCAGCCTGGGCAAAAGACAAAATGACTAGAGCATCAATTTTGAACAAAACAGTGACTTTTATATTCCTATTGCATTTCTCTGTCCCTTAAGCTGTGATTGCCTTAATTCTTTATGGAAGTACAGTCACCCATGCATGTGTCTAGCTCTGCCTGGGACCGGAGTCACTCAGCAGGCTGCCTCCAATTTTTCAATCCTGCCAGCTAAGGGAGGCAGACTCCTAGTGCCCCCAGGTTATCTGTGGTTCTCGGATGAGATCTAGGGGATCTTGTAGTGAAAATGGACCCTACTGATCTATTTCTCGAATTGGCTCCAGACCAGTAGGAGAAAGACCTTGTCTCCAAAACAACAATAACAAAACTAAGATGGACAGTTCTTGAGGAACCACACCCAAGGTGACCTTGAGGCTTCTCAGGCACACACACACACACCACACACACACACACACATAAATAAGATTAAATCATAAAATAGAATGATAATTTCACAAGGCCCAGCAAGGTGGCTCACTGGGTAAAGGCACTTGCAGTCAAAAACCTAAAGACCTGAGTTCAATCCCTAACACCTCTGCGGTGAAAGGAAAAAAAAAAACTGACTCTTGCAAGTTATCTGCTGACCTGTATCTATCTATACACGTAGCACACCACACATGTGTGTACACACACACACAAAACCAAAAATATAATAATAAATAATTTTAAAAACTTAAAGGAATTTGAGTTCACAGGACTTTACACCAGTGTTCTCTGTTGACTGAGCTCATCGCACAATATTGAGTATTTTCCTAAAATCCAAGACAGGCAGAGTTCCCAGAGGTGAGTGTCAGGCCTGTATCTGCACTTATTTTAATCTTTTAAAAATACCACAGAACGTCATCAAGTCTTGCCAGGTAGATGTGCAAGGTCAGGAAAGCAGGGAGAGCCGACCGATGACTCTTAGTGGCATCTGTGAAGACTTCCCAGACAGTTTCGAGTGCTTCTCATCTGCCTCCTCGGCACACACTCTTCTGTGGATGTATAAGGCGTAAGATGATGTTAGCTGGGACTGCCTGCCGTTAAGTGGAGGGATCTTTGTAAAGCCTTTCGTGCTTGTGGGCTGTGGGTAAGTGAGAAACTGTCTTTCCACCAGGTTCAAGTGACTATGGCTTTCTCTGGGGGTGGAAGCGACCGACGTGCCAGTTTTGCGCTCATGTCAGGAAGTGTTTATGTTTTTGAATTAACTAATAAAACAGGGAATGTTAAAAATAGATGCTGAGCCGCAGCACGCTAAAACAATTACACGCAGTATTCTAGTAAACAAGGGGCTTAGAGGACAGTGCCTTTGTGCTTTGTTTGTTTGCTTTAACAAGAGAGCACTAACGTGGAAAGTGGCTGGAGTAGCGCGGTGGCTTGAGGATGCTCCCGGATCTGGCTCCTGGTGCCCTTGAGCCGATCCCTCTGCATTCACCACACCAGTCTGTCACTCAGCAGTGTGGGCGCGACCAGTGGGCTTCTGTGAACTCAGGTAAACTGCCTCTTTTTCTTTTTTCTTAATGTTCCACTGTGACAATGTTAAATACACAAAAACAAGAAAGGCAGCAAAATAAACCCGCTCAGGGGAGGGGCAGGTCAGGTGACTGACAGGCAGCATTTTGTCCCACCTATTTAGTCATCCTCTTCCCTCCCTCCCTGCCTCTCCCCTACTCTCGCCACTCCTTGGCATTGTTGGAAGACTTCCTTTTTACCTCTATATGTACGTGTTTGTGTTCACGTGTGTGCAGGTGCGTGCATAGACCAAAAGAGAGTGCCTGACCCCTGGAGCTGGAGTGACAGGCAGTCATGACCTGCCCCATCATGGGTGCTGGGAGCCAAATTAGTGTCCTCTGCAATAACCCGACATGTTTTTAACTGCCGAGCCATCTCTCCAGCTCCTTCTCATGGCATTTTAAAGAAAATTCAAGCTATCACATATTCCATCACAAAATGCTGCAGTGTGGACCTCCTTAAGTCAGATGAGCATTGTGGCAGACGAGGGAAGGACAAGAATTCAGCACCCTATCTGATACACAAATGAATACTTTGCGTTGGTATGGGTTTTCATTTATTGAAACAAACTTAAGGCCAATTTTGTTATATGTAAATTTCTCCTCGTGTTTAGGTATTGTGTTTATACAGATCTTTTAAAATGTAATGCATAATTAAATACAGATTGTATACAGTCACCTATAATAGTCAGAACTTAGTTAGGTTTTCTAGATATACAAAGATGTATTTGAGATAATAAATATTCTTCAAACCTTTCAAAGACCTACAGAATATGGCATTTAAATGGTTTAGGGTTTTTCATGACAGTGAGACACAACTGCTCCTGGCGACACCAACTACTTCAAAGAGGAAGATGGGCATGGAAGAAATTCATTCTGGAGTTTGCCTTTGACATGGCAGAAATAGTCATTTGGGCAAGAAAGTTTTCTTGCCTGGATTGACTGTTGCTGTATAAACTGGGCGTGCAGACCCACAGGAATGTGACTGCTGAACTTACAAAACGAGATGGACAGTACTAAAGGGTTCCTGCTTCATGGAAGAGTCTGACAGACATTCTCCAGGACACATAAAAATGACTGACAAACTGCCAATGCAGGCAGACAGTCTAAAATTTCCTGCTTTGCTGAGAAGTCTGCCAGATACACTGTGGTCTGTGGATTAAAGATGGATGCCCCGACGTTACAGACAAACTTCAGGTGACTGTCCAGGTGGCAAGATGTCTCTATCAGTTCTTGAGTTTATATATTATCCTTCTGTGGTCTTTGATGGAGTTGAAAACAGATAGTTATGGTTATGGTTTTAGACTCATTAAAGATACAATAGATGATAGAAATTTTTCTTTAAATCTTGCTAAATGTTAATGGATTAAATATTATAACCATAGTTCTTATTTGATAGCTGTTTTTGTTATATATAATTTTACTGTGTTAAAGTTAAAACCCCTCTTTTTATTTAGACAGAAAAGAGGAGATGATGGGGTATGTTCTTCTGTGTATATGTTTCTCCTTATTGGTTAACACTGATTGGCCAGACAGGATGTAGGACTGGGAGACAAGTAGGGTTCTGGGAAGTGTAGGCAGAGAGGAGTCATCATATGATCCAGGAAGTGATGTAGCTGAGCAGAAACAGCCACTATCTAACCATAGAGGTCTTGAGATCTGTACAGACCGGCAGGAATGACACAGCTGGGCACAATCAGGATATAAACAGGGACAAACAGGAAACCACTCTCTTCTCTGCTGAGATGCTGAGCAATCATCATGTAGCAGGCCAAGGAGTTGCAGGTCCGGCATTCCCCAGTAAGATAAGACCACGTGGAAATACTTAGGGTATTAGAAATGTGTTAATAATTTAGACAGAGCTAGCCGATAAGAAGCCATAGCTTCTGTAATTAATGTAGCATCTGTGTGCTTCTTTGGGGCAGAGAAGGGTGGCGGGACCTAGCTGGGCCAAGAATCTCACGGTATACCCATTTCAAAAAAGTATTCAATACTATCACTAGGGTTATGAAAATTATTTAACTCTGTTTTTGCCTAGTTCCGGCAATGTTCTAATTTTACCCATTATCTCAAAAATATCTATACAGGTGCTGGAGAGAAGGCTCAGAGGTTAAAGGCATTGGCTGCTCTTCCAGAGGACTGGGTTTGACTTTCAACACCCACACAACAGTTCACAACCATCTGTAACTCCAGTTCCAGGGGATCCAAAACCCTCTTCTGGCTTCCCTGAACTCATCTGATGCACAGACACACGTGCGAGCAAAAATACCCATGCAGGCAGAATAAAACTAAAAACAAGACGACAAAAATCTGTAACCTTCCTAGCTTTTTCATACAACTAGCTCAAAATTATTTGTTGTTTTGGATGGAGACAATTGATTCTATCTGAATACATTAAATGAGATGAGGATGTATTCCTCGTGGCATGGACTCATGTAGTCTACTTCTGGGCTCCAAGAGTGTTCAGTGGGGCAGGACAGCCGGGCTCCACTCCCAGCTCCTGAATTCACTGGTTGTGTGTTCCTACGCCAGCTCCTTAACCCCATGTGCCTCTGTTTCCTCTTCTATAAGGTCAGACCAGCGACAGCAGCACCCAAAATGGTTGGAAGGAGCGCAAGAAAACATTCATTAAATCCCTTACCACTACAGCCAGAACCCCCAAAGCAGCGAGAGAATTCAGTTGTCGTTTCCGTGCTGTACCTTTTTCAGATACACTGTGTGGTCTGTTGTGCATCAGACAGTTTCTAACACATTGCTTTGGGTTTACGCTGCTGAGGAGAAACGCCTGCAATGCATACACTAGGATCGAGACGGGGTCTCCGGTACCAAACCTGAACATGGGCTTCACTCTACATCAGTCAAAACCCCCAGAACTCCCACACAACTGAGAACTGCGTTCCTGCTCGACCAGGGCGGGTGTCAGAAGAGGAAACGGAGAGTTGCTCCGGTCCGCACGTGCTTCTCCCTACCCAGCTCCCTCTGCTTCAGTTTCTCCCCCCACTGAGTTTCCACCTCCTGATTTCTGACCTCGCTTCTAAAGGTTGCTTGCAGGATGTTGATCTTTAATGTGGCACAAGCCTTGGCCACCTCTGTCCTCATCTACGAGATGGGTCCAGCAAGGCTTGCTCTGCGGGACCCCTGTGAGATGGTGAAAAGCGTGCATAAACACCTTTCACGCAGTAAGCTGTCCTGAAGCCTCAGGCTCTTCCCCACTAGCTAAATTAGGACGGCTCCTTTCTGTGCCCCCTCCCTCTCTGCCTCAGGCATGCTATTTTATCCCCCCCACACACACACACACCCTTTTCCTGTTTAGTTTGTTTTTTTTTTTTCTCTCCTCTCCACAGAGACTGCCTTCAGGCATATGGCCAGTCCACTATGCCCTGCCCTGAGCGACTTCTGCAGCATCGGAAAAGATTACCGCCACCTGCGCACCGCTGCCAGCAGCAACAGTAGCTGCCAGCCTCTGTGTGGCACTTCATAATCATAACTAGCTTCACACAGCATTATTTTTAATCCTGATCATAACTCTATGGATATATCCTTTCTCATTTCCTGAGTAACTGAGCCAAGGAGGAACATGTGCTCAGGGGCCCAGTGAGCACGTACTTTGTCAGTGTTATGCAACTACCGTTAGCTCCGTCTCAGCTAATAATGCAGGGTGAACCGGGCCTGGTGGCTCACAGCCAGCACTCAGGAGGATGTGGTGGGAGCAGCCACCAGCAAGCCAGCTTGGGCTACCACAGTGAGACCCTAGGCTCAGAAAAGCAAACAAACATTGGTGGACTAGTGAGATGGCCTGGTCAAAACGTGCTTGCTGCTCAGGCGTGGGGATGTGATAGGGATTCCCGGAACCCACCTAAACAGCTGCATTGGCAGGAAGGGCAGGACACTGACAGAAGTACCCCTGGGGCTCACAGACAGCCGAACCTAGCCCAATAATGAGTTCCAGGTTCAGTGAGAGACCTGCCTCAGAAACTAAGGTGTAAGAAATGGGAAAAGGTATTCACTATCAAACTCTGGCCTCCACGTGTGAGCCCCATACGAACACGTGTGTATACCAAGAAGAAAAATTGTAATCATCTGTATACAAATAAAAAATACAGTGTAGGATGACACATGACTCTTTTCAAACTTGATGTGAGAGATTTGAGAAGGGTTTCCTCGTAACTCAATGCTTAATTTTTACTGTTGGTTAAAATAACCAACAGTAAAATGTGCTCGCTGCCCCGCCTTAGGAAACTCTCCTGATTTACACCGATCTGGCCATGTTAAACACTTTCTCAAAGGACATTTTAAAGGTAGCTATTGTTGGAGGAACTCAGAGATCCTGCTTCCATCTGTGGAAAGCCTGCTAGGTTTCCCTTCCTTGGGGGTACGCCTGAGGCCACCTACCATCCTCAGGAATGATGATCATGTAGCCCACACTTTCATAGTGAAATCTTGGGCTGCCCTCTCCGTTTAGCCTGTAGTGAGAGGTGAGAGCACCCTGGCTACATTATAATGAGGCAGGCGAGCATAGGGAATAGCTTAGCAGCCTGGGACTCCTCTTGGCTTGGGCAGTAATCCCAGTGATGCCCTTAGCAGCTTGAGAGTCATACCCTCTCATACTTAGACATTGCACTACTCACACTGAACGATGGACCTAGCAACTTGGGCCCAAGTGGATTTTCTTTATAACTCAATCTAGAACTAAACTCCTCAAGCCTCGAGTGAATAGCTTCCAAGGGTGAATAGCATGACTCGGTAACATGACTGAAGACCTTGCCTCCTACACTGCCTATCCTCACAATGCTACCACACAAGGTACCTTCCTTCCAACACATGGACCGTTGGGGATAACCCTCAGACCACAGCGCCTTTCACAGGAATGGAAGTTAGGGACGCAAGTAGATTTTGTGCATGCTAACCGCTTTGTCCCATGGAAGAGGAAAGAGGGAATGAGAACTGCCAAAAGCAAATGAGATCCTACCATTGGACATTGGTAAGGCATTGCTGAGCATCTGCCTTCCCTGAGGACGGTGCCATTGAGAAGGGCTCCCCCCAGAACTGGACAGCAACAGCATTCTCACGACATTTCCTTGCAGGTGTCAATTAAACCCAGGTGGGTATCTTGGTGTAGTAACAGCTAAATGGTGCTTTTTTTTTTTTTTTTTTTTTTTTTGGTTTTTTGAGACAAGGTTTCTCTCTGGCTTTGAAGCCTGTCCTGGAACTAGCTCTTGTAGACCAGGCTGGTCTCGAACTCACAGAGATCCGCCTGCCTCTGCCTCCGGAGTGCTGGGAGTTGTAGACCAGGCTGATCTTGAACTCACAGAGATCCGCCTGCCTCTGCCTCCAGAGTGCTGGGAGTAAAGGCGTGTACCACTACTGCCTGGCATAAATGATACTTTTTAATCACCTCAAAGATTTATGGCCAGCCAGCATCATTTCTTGCGTTACAAGCCCATGAAAAGCAGCCAATCAGGGTGTGTACTCGCTGTCACAGGCTCTCTAATGTTTCGCTGTCACAGCTATCCTTAGAGGAACTGCTTAAATTGCATAAAACCCTAAAATTATACCTTCCCTAGTTTCACTTTTCTGAGCAGTCCCCAGTGGGAAACTTTGAATATAACTTATTGCTGAAATTGTCCAAATATTTATATGACAAACATTTATCAACTACTAAATTCAACTGTTTTTTTAAATCCTTTTCCCAAATACAAGGTAGTTTGAGCATTACAAATGATGATAGAAAATTATGCTGTTTGTATAGCAAAAAAAGACTTCTGGTGCCATAGTTTTAAAATATATTGAAACAGATTGAGAAAAAAATACACAGAGGGGAAGGAAGTAATTCAACCTTTGGTTAGAAGGGAGTAGCTGAGGGAGGGGGTCGGAAGAGGTAGTGAGATCCTGAAGGAAAGCAAATACCATTTTCATTACTGTTTAATAAGTGTGATTTGTCAGAGATACCGAAGCCCTCCATAAGCTATTGGATCTGACAAAATTCCTGCCTGGAAAAATAAATCAGAGAGCTGGGGGTGCTAACGGGGAGTGATGACTAAGCCACATGAGTGTATCAGAAACCAGCATCTCTGTTTCCCCTTCCCCACAGCAGGAACCCTGCACATTCCTGAGGCCAGGAATACCCTCATCCCCATCAGAACAACCAGTTCACCACCAATGGTCTAGAAACACTTAAAAATTGAACAGATTTGTTAATGAATTGATATATGTTATATACACAATGCATGACTATATGTTATGTAATCAGAAAGAACGCTGAAATAACTCAAGAGAAGAAATACTGAAGCAGTCCTAAATGCCACTTAGATGAGCATTGTCAGTCTTGCTGGTCAGCAAGGGGGGGGGGGCTGGCGGCAGACTCCACCTCCAGCACGTAAGAAGTAAGAGCACCCACACAAAGTTAGTCTGACAGTTCTTTCTGGTTCCTTCTTCTCAAGCTCTGTGGTTTTCATTTGCTTCAGAGATATCTCAAACCAGTGTCAGGTAGACCAGAAGGACCGAGGCTGCTTTACCCAGTCTTGAGCACCTGCTCCCTCCTCACAGTGTCAGGCCCAGAGCAGGCTACTGGGAGACATTTAAAGAGCAGTGGCCAGATGCTTGCACTGCTACAGGTCAGGCAAAGGCATAAAATGGTTGAGAATCAACCGGCGAACTTGGGTCTTTGGACTGTACTGTTCATTCAGTGGAAGAGAGGAGCCATTTCCCCCTCAAGCAACAAAGACTCGGGAAAGCCAGACTGACAGAGACATGTGCTGTCAAGTCCATTCACTGGTGATTTTACAGGGACAGCTTTTCCTAAGGAACCCTTTGAGGTGTTTGGTTCTCTGGAGGTGAGAAAAGATGAGTCAATCCTCCTCGCACCAATCATGGAAGAGAAATACAAGTGTGTCACTTTTCTTTTTTATTTAAGTTAGAAACAAGCTTATTTCATATACCAATCCCAGCTCCCTCTCCCTCCCCTTCTCCCCCGCCCTCCCCAACAGGTCCCGCAGTCCCCCACCAAATCTCTACTCCAATCCCCAGGGAGGATGAGGCCCTCCATGGTGGACCTCCAATGATTGTCATTTTATCTAGGGCAGGGCCTAGTCCCTCCCCCAAGAGTCCAGGCTGAGAGAGCATCCCATATTGAGGCATGGGCACTCAAAGTCTATTTGTACACCAGGGATAAATACTACACAAGGCCCCATAGATTACCTAGGCCTCCTCACTGACACCCACCTTCAGGGGGTCTGGGTCAGTCCCATGCTTTCCACACAGCCATCAGTCTGGGATCCAAGAGCTCCCCCTTGTTAGGTCAACTGTTTCTGTGGGTCAAACCAGCCCAGACCTAACTCCTTTCTCATCAGTTCTCAAGTGTGTCACTTTTCAGAAGTCACACTTAAAGGAATCTTCTTACCTTCGTAGTTTACCTAAGATAAGGGTCCTGGTTGTATAGGAAACTCCTCAGATCTTTGGAAGTATTCCTTGATTAATAACAACTCAGACGTAAGCCATTAAGAAGGCAGTGTCTCATTGTGTGGCAGTTCAAAGCCTGAACTGAGAAGTCGAGTAACTTGTTTTAAACTAGACAACGTGAGTAAAAACTCCATACTTTCACTATGATGCGCACAGCAGTTTAATCTCCATGACAGGAGGTTGGAAATTCCTGGGTTTTTTTTAATCAATATTCAAACTCTCCAGCAAAATGCATGCTTTTGGTGTAAGACCCTTATTTTCAAGTAGAAATTTCTCCAAAAAGTACTTTTATTTAAAAAAAAAAAGACTTTTCAGATAGATGCCTACACTGATGTTTTAGGAAATTATACAAAGCTGCACAAATACTCGATCTGTGTGGATGTCAGGGATACCAGCCTTGGTGGAAGGCCATTCCTAGAGCACCTTGGGGTGACATTCAGGGACCAGTTTTAGCCCTCACCCTGGTAAAGCTTCAAGTCTCTAAACTGAGTCTACTTTTCTCTGTACTGAACAGGGAATAAAATGTTTGACATAGACAAGCATTAAACATTTGGTATTACAGTTGGAGTAGATGTCATCCTCGGGTTTTTATCAAGAAGTAGCAGTTAAATGAATGTTCTAGTTTCATTTCTGCTGCTATGATAAGACACTTTGACAAAAAGCAACTTAGGGAAGAAAGGGGTTTTGCTTCAGCTCGAAATTTCAGGTTATAATCCATCACTGTGGGGGGGGGAGGTCAAGGCAGGAACTTCAAACAGCTGGCCACGTCACGTTCACCACCAAGAGCAGAGGGAAATGCATGCACACTTGCCTGTGTTCACCTTGAACTTTCCCGTCAGACAGTTCGGGAGACCCCGTCTAGGGAATGGTGCCTTGCACAGTGGGCTGGGCATCCCCACATCAATAAACTTAAATAAAGTAATTCCCCACAGGCACACCCACAAGCCAGCCCAATGCAGACAATCCCCCACTGAGATTTTCTTCTCGTGTAACTCTTAGGCTGAGTCAAATTGACAGCTAAAGTCAACTGTCTTAGTCACTGTTCTATTGCTGTAAAGACATACCACGACACTTACAGCAGAAACGCGTTCAATTGGTAGCTGCTTACAGTTTTGGAGGTTTGGTCCATTATCATCATGGTGGCAGGGGGCCGGGGGAGATACTGGGTGTGGCTTGGGTTTTTTGAAATCTCAAAGTCCACTCCCAGGGGTTCCCTTGGATGGGTTATTGAGACCCCAGACCCTTCCTCTTCCTCTTTCATTTGCCTCCTGGCCATGAGTGAGACGGTCTTGTTCTGCCACTTGCTCCTCACTGTCATATAGCCCTGTAGCAGCAGCCCCAAAGCTCTGAAGCTCTGAGCCAGTGCAAACCTTGTTGCTTGCCAGGGCTGATTGTCTTAGGGTCATCCCGTGACGGGAACTGGTGAACACACCGTTGTCTTCAGTGGCATGTCTTTTCTGAATCTAATCCTCCTGGATCCCTCTTACAGACTTCTGTGGTTGCACTGAGTCTGCTCACACAATCCACAATCTTAAAACTTTTCATGATGCCTGCAAACTCTCTTTTCTATGCAATATAACACAGGTGCCAGTGATTAGAATATGGGTGTCTCCGGGAGCTGTTACCCAGTCAGACTACAGCAGTCCATGCTCACCAAGTGATGATTGTGGCAGCAACCAGTTAGAACCGAATATGTGCTAAGCCCGAGCTGGGAAATTCACGAAACGTACTGAGTGAAACCCTGGTGCCAGCATTTTGAGGATGGCAATGTCCCCATTAATGGACGAGAGGACTCTTGGTGTCTTCGTAAAGGATCAGCCTCAATCTGAGTCCTGCTCTAACTGCATCCTTCCCTGTGACCACCATGCCTGGTTCCACATGGAGAAGAGCATGGAAACCATCGGGTGCAATATGCAGATGCCCAGCGTTAAATTCCTTCCCGCATAGACCTGTCAATGGCAAACACAGGTCTGGACCCTAGCCTCTAAGTTCCCCTCTGCATTTCCCAGGGGAAGCGGGACACTCATCCAGTGCATGTCCAATGCTCAGTGAGTCATGCCACCCTCATTTGCTCCCTGCCTCTGCCTTTGGGTGATCAGAGTGAAGATCTCATAATGGACATTTTAAAAATATTTCTGGCAATAATGATCAGGCTTATTGTCTCATTTCTTTTCCTTTTAAAGCTCCAGGGTAGTCTGCAGTCATGTTTAAATAATTACACTGTAACTTTTCTCCCCAGGAAGAATTTCCCTAGTGATTTCAAGATACAGAATAAAAAGCTTTAAAACTAAAATCAGTCTGGATTTTCCCCCTCATTTTTTTCAGGCAGGGTGTCACGGAGTCCAGGCTGACCTCAAACTTCTGACCCCTCTACTTCCACTTCCCAAGTACTGGGGTTATAGTCACACGCCAGGCAGCACACGTGGTTATGGAGTGCTGTGGATCAGCACAGGGCTCTGTGAATGCTAGGCAGGTAGTCCACCTGGTGAGTTACATCCCCAGGCCCCATGGGGAAAACCGACTCTTAAATGTGATTGCTTTTATAAAAATGAGAAGGTTGGCACATGCAATTGAAAGACCCCTACCCAGGGCCCCCTAGGAAAAGAAAAACAAGGCCAGGCTGTTGCCTAATGAAAAAACCCAGACCAGGTGCCTCGCCCAGCTGGCGCTTCAAATAGGATGCCAAACAGGATGTCTATGGTCACCAGAGCAGTCATGGGACCCGGATAATAATTGCTGAAGCGTGCCGAGGTCGTTCATGAGGTAATACCAGGAAACCTAGTCCGTGAGAACTACCCCTGCCCCCAAGATGAGCCAATGAAATGCCTGTTGCTATGCTGATACTTATGTAACCATTAAAACTCTATAAATATTGTGCTCCCTGCAAGCCCGGTATGCTCTGCCCCTGAGTTGCAGTAGCATCCGCAGGCGCCTGTGTACTCAATAAATCACCTCTTGCATTTGCATCCAGTGGTCTGGCCCCAGTTCTTGGGCAGAGGATTCGGTTCAGTGCCCGGCGCTTTGATGCCGAGGTCTTTCAAAATGAACTTACATAATAATGAATAGCTCTGTGAACATGTTAGGGAATAAAGATGTTCTAGAACAAACAGCACCCATTTGTCAAGAAAAAAAATGGAAGGTGATAAAGAAATAGTCTTTGGTTGTCATATAAATAAACTTCTGAAAAGATGTTAGAGTCAACAAAAGATGCTGAGCAGTAGCTTGGCATGCTACAGTGGGCAATACTTTTTTCGGGATAGCCTGCATACACAGTATATGTCATTCTGCCTTGGCCACCTTCCACAGTTTACTCCAGCTCATTCTCTTTTGTCCCTCTTCCTTTATGGTGGAACGTGACAACCAGGGATGTGTTTCCAAGAGAACAAGGAGAGGTGTATAGGAGGGAAGGGGGAAATCGCGTGATTATATTATTGTCTCACAAAATAAAAGAAATATTTTTATTTCCGAGGCTCAAACCTCAAAAGTTTGAGGTTTCAAACTTTATTTCAAAAGTTCTGTGACTAAGATTGACATTTTGTTCTCTACTTCCCATTCATATTTAAAGGTTAAGGAAGAAATATAATGAAGTGTTTCATCTAGATGACTTCAGAAACCAGTACAGGTCAATAACCAGTAGAAGGCCTCCGTTCACGGAATTAAAGGCTATTTGGGAGGGTTACTGTGTAATGTGTAAGCTAGAATAGAGTACCAGAAGAGCAAACAGAGGGGAAGGACCACCTAGAGCCTTGTTCGCAAATGTTAGGACATCAGTGCCGCAACCTTACACCCCATGGCTCCTTGCACATGTGGTGTGAGGGTGCATGTGAGGAGCAGCTGAGTGTGTGTATTGGTCTACTTGTCTGTGTCGAAAGGAAGCAAGTTCAGCACATTGTCAGAGGCTCAGACAGCCCTTCAGTTAAAATATATCCTGGGGCGGGGAAATGCTTGGAGGACTAAGTACTTACTATACCTGAATAAGGACCTGAGTTCCAAACCCCAGCACTCACAGAAAACCTGGTGTCGTGGGGGAAAAGGAGCAGAGACAGGCAGATTCTAGAGAACCACTGGCAGGTCCACGGAGCCAAGGCAGCAAGCTCAAGATTCAGTGAAAACCGTCCAAAACACAATTGAGGAAGATATGTGATGTCAACTTCTGGCCCCTACATGTCCATGCAAGGGTAAGTGTGTATGCGCTCTAACACACACCTGCTTGCACACACATACACACATGTGCACACACACACACACGCATCCTGCACAAATGCATCGGTATGGTACAGGCTCAACAATCTAGTGCCCTTTTCAATGCCCACCTAGCCATGTCCTTCAGTGTCCCTGCAGTTACACCCCAGGACCTAGCTAACACAGGTGCGTGAGTGTGTGGCATCTCCATGGTGTGAGCCTTCTCTGCAGATAGCTGTCAACCACTCAATTCCAGATGTGCACTCACTCACTGCTGCTGGGATTTGGAAGTGAGACCTGAACTAACAATTTCTAGGGAGCTCCGGGTCTTATACCCTCACATAAAAGCCAAGATGTGAGCTGCTCTCTGGCTTCCCCTTTAAAAATGTTGGTGAAGGGCGATATTGTGGCTCTGGGGTGGAGCACTGACTTGGTACACATGAGGTCCTGGGTTCAATCCCAATATTGCAAAAAAATGGATGGGGACTTATTAGTCACTTTTTTTGTTGCTGTGATAAAGTATCATGACAGACAGCAGCTCATCGAAAGGCGAGTTTATTTTGGCTTATGGCTCCAGAAGTCGAGTCCATAATTGTGTGGGAGGGAAGGCAGCTGGTGGCTGGAACAGGGAGTTGATAGATCACGTCTTCCATGAAAAACATGAAGCAGAAAGAACAAATTGGAAATGGGGAAAGGCTACAGACTCCCAAGGCCCATCCTCATCAAGGCTCCACATCCTACAGGTACCACAACCTTCCCGGACAACCCTGCCAACTGGGGACCAAGGGAGTCATTTCTCATTCAGACCTCCTTGGAGGTATTGATGGATTGGATGAATAGGCTTCTTCCAGCCAGAACTGCACTCAATATTGGGCAGGAACTTCTGGGTAGTTTTTTCTAGGGCTCTTGAGAATCTCAGAAGGTTCTTATTAAAATGAACACCAAGTGACAAACTTAACGGCCTCCAGAGGTACGTCATGCCAAAGAATACTATGTTAAAAATGCTGATTAAATAAGAATAAACTCCTCATAAATCATTTATGGCAAAGAATAATTTTGAATTGCTCAGAAAAGAAATATGAAAGCCATGATAAATTACAGCTCTTGCTGAACTAAGCCTCGTGTTTCCAGTACCAAAGAAACAGATAAATTAATGTCCTTAATTAGCAGCTGATGAGGCAAAGTTGTGCGTAGCTTTAGAAGAATCCTCTAATGTCTGTGGTGTTTCCAAGATGGTTGACTAAAATAAGCCTTCCCTTTCATGGATTTTTTAAAACTTTTTTTCTAGACTTCCTTGCAAACTGTCAAACCCAATAGATGGTGCAGGATGGGGCGATGGCCCCTGTCAGGGAGCTGTTACCTGACAGGGCCTCTCCTAACTGTAAACGATGATTGCATCTGTCAAGCAGGCTGTCAGAGCCACATAGCAAAGTCTAGCAAATTGGATGCTTGGGTACCCAGCATGCACTTCCCTCGTACTAGACAGATGCATTGTTCCTGTCAGCGGATAACAGAACCAAACACAACAGAGTCCATCTCCTGCAGCGTGCACATGTGCCGTCCATGCCGTGTAGACGCTGGAACTGCAGTATCTGGGTTTGCTGTTTGTCTCCTCTAACTGTCAAAACCTGGAAAGGTTTAATCACCCTGGTGTGGAAGCCTCAGCGTTTCTATGGTGATGTCAAGAAGGCAATTGGCAAAGATGGGCCAGAAGAGGCCAAGGCTGTTCATGCAACAGAGCTTGTTACGGGCAATGGTTGGGCAGAAGCAAACCAATTTCATGACTTCTCTTGATGTCTGTGGTCAGTGTCAAGCTGTAGCTTGTGGAAGAGAATGGAGGGGAAGGGAGCCGGGGGAAGGGCTCAGAACAGGGCCGGCTGCAAGTTCAGAGTGGGCAGATGGGTTTTAGGGCCTCCCAAATCTTGTACTGAAAAATCAAGACCCTGGGAGAGATGGGCAGGAGGGGGTGGAGGAGCGCCTTGACTGATCTCCCTTTGAGACACAGTTTTCAAGCATGGGCGAGACAGACAGGCAATCCGCCAAGACTCCGAGCATCACGCATTTTCCCAGATATTCCAGTTATCTGTCATTCCGTTTGCTTTAGAGTTATAGTGTTTAGAAATTATGAACTTCAAAAAGTTCCTCCTCTGTGGGCTACTCAGCGCTCAGGGCCCCTTCAGGCACAAAGTGTTACTGGATACAACAGTCTCCTTCTTTGTCCACTTCTGTTGGATCCAACACATAGCAAAGATGCCCCTCCCTCTCTCTCTCCCATTTACCATTTCTAATGAATGAAGGGGATGGTAATGAGGGACAAGGCTACTAAGAGAACCCTGTCTACAACAGAGCCTGGTTGATACCGGGCAGGCACCTGAGGAACCAGGGTCTGGGTGTGCCATGGGAGGAGCTGCCCAAGTGCCAATCACATGCAGGATATATTCAAACAGAGCCAGGTCAGAGATTAAGCAGGGAGGGAGCAGGGTCTGTCAACATTCAACACTGAGAATACTAGAGGCAACACCAGGGATATTCATCTGTCAGCATATTTGTAGTAAACATCTAATACAGGGTAAGGAGAGAGCCCAGGGGTGGCACGCTTGTATAGAATACACAAGGCCCAGGGTCAGTCATCAGTAGTTTGACTGAGAGGCACCTATAGTGTGCCTGGCCCTCTATTTGAGTGGGGGCTACCTCTAAAGCATGCGTCACCAGAGGACCTTGCATTCAATGAGGAAGAGAGCGGTGGTTAAGCCCTACTGTCAGGAGCATCTTCCCTAGGCCAGCAGGGGAGACGACTTCCTGGAAATAAGGCCATGAACTTGACTTGGAGACAGATGGGCAAAGAGTACAAGAGAAGCAGAGGCTGGGGGTTATTCCCTGGTAGTCAATGAGCAAGAGAGGCCCGCTGTGAGCTAAAGACAAGATCCTTCATGTTCCATACGGCAGGTTAACATTCATCTGGGTACCGACGAATATTAGTTAGGAATGCAGGCAGAGGAGGAAAATGATTGTGTTGGGCGCCATGGTGAAATACCTAACAAGAAGCAAATGAAGGGAGGATGGGGGAATCTTGCTTGCGGCTTACAGTTCAAAGGGAGACAGTCCATCATGGCTGGGTGTATGGCATGTTGGCACTGATGGACCACATTGCATCTGTAGTTGGGAGAGAAATGGAGGTGTTGATACTCGCCTCGCTGTCTCCTTTTCCCCTTTTTATTTGAACAGAAACTCCAGCTCAAGGAATGGCGCCATCCACATACAGGATAGGTCTTCCCGCCTCAGTTACCCACATCGAAAGGAAAGAAAAGAAAAGATGCCCCTTGTAAATATGACCAGAGATCTGTCTCAAGGGTAATTCTAGAGATTATAAAAACCCACTAAGATGAACCTTTGCCATGATCTGTATCACGGCCTTGGGGAGAAAGGATGAGTTTGGGAGGAAACGTAGCTCAAGGTATCACATGATGCTGCTTGTATAAGGCAGGCAAGTGAAATCGGCGTTGTGGACTAGGGAAGTGACGTTGGAGCTGGAGGGAGAAGCCGACAAGAGCCCCCCACCCCAAGTGAAATCGGCATTGTGGACTAGGGAAGTGACGTTGGAGCTGGAGGGAGAAGCCGACA